ATTTCTGGAAATCTTACACCTGTGAACCTGTTTGAGGGGACATGGATCAGACACAGAAGAGCTATATACATTGTAACTGAGAACACTAATTTCTGTAAAACAAGTATACTTCTCACTTCAAAATACTATTTGCTACTCATCTTTCTAACACAGCAGTACTCGAGGAGGCTGTCTGGAATCTAAACAAGAAAATTTTAATTCAAGGTGTTAGTCCTGAAGAGCTCCCCAGTATTACATGGTTCCATACGTATTTACTAAATACCTACTAAATAATAATTTCACAAAGTTTCAAAAAGATTTAAGGATATACTTAAGATAATTCACAGGAGCATACTAATCCCTTTCAGATGGTGCCTCAGTGTGAGCAAGCCAATCAAATTTAGATGTTTGAATACGAATAGACTCCAGGAAGAAACACTTTTTCTGGTATTTTTCTAGACTACTTATAACTTATACTGACATATGCTATCTAAATAAGAAAGCTAACTCGAAGCATCTATGTTTCCCTTCCAACAACCAATAAGGTATTTGGGAAAGGACTGAAAGAAGAAGAGAATCCAATGAAGAAAAGAATCTGAAATAACTTTATGCAAAAGCCCAGAAATAGGTCTTTTAAAGAGATTTCATTAAAAAAAAGAGAGTTTTGTTCTGTGAGTAGAACTCAAGCTCTAGCAGTAGATGTGCAAGAAAAAAAAAAATATCATAAAACTAGCATGTTCACAAAATGTTGGGGTAATAAGCAAATGGAGAGGTCAGTTCTATTATCACTACATTAAGATCCCCAAAGGAAAGGGATTTTCCAAGTGGAGGGGAGGGAGACATGAGAATTACAGATAAAGCGATTTCTTATCCATCATCTTGGGGAGTAGAAGAAAGGGGTATCTTAAATAACAGGAACAAGAGTAACAACATAATAAATAAAATTACCAAATAGCTTCATTGCTAAATATTCTATAAAATGACGAATTTAATCTGCCATGGAATGAGCGCTCATCTGCCAAGGTACTTTGTTAATGACATCATCGACAGATACCTTCACTATTCCTAGATAGGAAAGACACTACCTAGTTCCTTTTTGCCTATTTGAAGGGAATTGTTGCACTTGTTCTGTCCACTGGTACTTGTCTAGACTTTGACAAGGAAGCAGAAATGTGACTCAGGGCACATAATACACATACATTTTTCATGTGCTACACACTGGCAGATTATAGGTTTCCGTGACCAAATAACAAGCTGTCATCTAACAAAACTGTTTGGAAAACATCTGAAATAAAACTGAAATGCTCAAAAGCATGTTACACATTTTTAAATTTTAAGTACTGCACACTTATGGAACATAGAAGAAAGAAGGAAAACATGGTCAGGACAGGATAAACTAGATTACAAAACTGTAGATAGCATTCAGAGAAGAAGCTGCCATCTGCACATTTCACACCATGTCACATGTGAGGCAAATGATCCCCATTTCTACCAGGGGTCAGTTTATTGCAGCTGAGCGCACACTGGTCAGAGTCACTTCATATGCTTGGAATCAATACTCCAGTTTACTTCATGCACTACTTTGTACTTGACGATAACAATCAAGACATTAAAAAAGCATATTAATTGTAATATGTATTGTAATTTATATTACAATTAATATATTACTATATATAATAAAGATATAAATTGCAATTAATGTCTAACTCGTTATAACAACTGAGGTGCTCACTTTTGGTCACTGTCATAAACTTATTTAAGAAACAGTGGATCTTCTTGCATTTCATTTTTATTCATAAAACATAAGAGTCAACTTAGCTCCTCTATAAGCATCAGAATTATAAAATATTGTATGACAGAACGAAATGTTTTAATATACTGAAGATGCATACTGTCACAGCACCCGTGGAACAGGCTACAACTGCTAATTCAACATTTCACAGAGGATGCAGCTGCCAATGCAGCCATTTCCACTAATTCAATAGTCAGACTACATTTTTGGCAGCAAATGTATACAGCTTAATAGTTTTATTTGGTTCACTTGTAAATAGGTATAGTCTTTATTGTCTTCTGCTTGTTTGCCCATTTTATGTTTAGAGAAGTTCTTCGATGCCAGCTTCTAAATAAATTCTGACATTTTAAAAAAAATATTTTACTTCTTAATGAAAACAGTAAAATTGATTTTTATTCAGTTCTGCTCAGTTCTCCCCCCTACAAGAGGAAGCAGGTTTAACTGAGTATCTATTTTTGTAACTATTTTGGGCATCCCACAAAAGATCCATAGATCCACACCCCATCTTACCACATGCCTATCCGTTCATGTGCTTTTACCCTTCAGTAGCACTTAAATTTTATGAGCTATGTTAGCCTGCAAGCTAACAAAAATGCCAAGTTAGGACTGCTGGGTATCCTACATAAATAGAATACAATTCCAAAATATATAACTAAGGAAAAATAGTTATTGTTGCTTTAATGAGAATGAAAAGATGCTAGTAACAGACTGAACAACGTTTAATAACGGATAAGCAGACTGCAACAGAATTTAAAAAAAAAAACAACAAACAAAACAAAACCAAACTTGAAGACAGTTAACGTATTTGTCAAGACAGTAGTTTCAGATCTAGTAAAACAGTATTTTCCAGCTAGCAGCTTTGCATCTTTACTGTTAAACTTCACATTCATAAACAGTTATGCACAAGGACATTAAAGGAAAAAAAAGAAAAAGAAAAATCACTTCTACTCACTAAAATCCACACATTTCTGAGGAGAGGAGAAATTAAAATCTGTGGTTATACAATTATGCAAAACCAACAAAATGTCTGAATAAGCATTGTTTAAATTTAGATATTAACAATCTAAGCTGGCTGACGACTTCTAAATAATTTAAACAAAACTTAATTTTAAAATTAACAGAAGTTTTGTACTAATAAAAATAAGCCTTATGTGTGACACAGATCTATCAACACATAGGAATATGTTCAACAGTAAAACTGAAAAGCTCATTGTTAGAACTCAGATGAACACTGAAGTCTATTTGATAGTACCCATTCGAAGCAACCCTTTGGGAAGCTCTTAAAGCTACAATTCACTTATAAACCGATACTTTCAGGGTGCAGGGAAAGATCCTTAAAACAAATGGAAGGTATTTCACCCATTTGTGTTTGTAACTTCCTTCTTAGGTACTCAATAGCAAAAGTTAGAGCTGATTTTTCTGCATTAGTTCTTTGCCTAAAAAGCATATGGAAAGGGTCAGCTATCACAGTCTTTAAAAGATGACTGAGCGCTCCTATATTCCATAAGATGGACACCCAAGAGACTATTCATGTACTCAACAGAGAATGAGAACAGGTATTTTTTTCCAACAGGATTGTTCATCTGACAAGTCATCAGGAAATAATACATCAAGATGTTAAAATGATGCAAGAATGATATCCGAATTTGGAAAAAGCCACTAGAAAGCGGAATTACATAAAAACCAGCAGATTGCCACGAAAGCCAGCATCCACTCTTCAACAAGTTGTGCTTTCGAGGGAGGTCCCCAAAAAGAATACCTCTTCAGTAAGCTTGGCTTACTGGGCAATAGTTAATTCTAGTTTTCTGCTAAGAATTTAAAACTCTCAGAGCCAGGGAAAAAAAAAAGTCTGCTATCGGGCATCTTTGAAGCTTGGTCAGAAACATTTCTTTATTTTGCTTCACTTACTTTGGAGGAGGAAGTGGTGGGGGAGGAAAATGTTAAAACCATGAATATTTTCTAAGCCATTCTTAGGGAGTGTGAAAACAAGTGCTTTGCAAAGGCGACTTTACAATGCGAAGAACACTATATTTTGTCATTAACTTTTAGGACTTAAGCTTTGCCTTTTTCAAAATAACGCATTTATGTAGAAAATCCTCTCCCCCCCCTCAACCTGTAATTCCTTCATCCACTACATCCTTGAAGAGCAAATCTTAAGCATTGCCTGTGGACAGAATAATACTATTTTAATCAAAGTAATTTTAAAATCAATACAGACAAGCACGGAAAAACTGACATTTAAACCTATAATATGGCTTTTATATGGGTAATTGTGCTTTACAGATATTACTCTAATGTGCCTTTCTTACAAAATGTCCACACAAAAAATGTCTGCAGCTTCTTCCTCCCGGTACCTCTCCACTCCTTATTTTTAAAACCTATCAGAGCAAGGAAAAAGTTCAGGAATCGAACCGATAACTTGAGGTGAATAATCACGTATCTGTCCATCCAGAAGCAGGGCTGCCTAAGGAGTTCTGATTTTTATTCCACACACTGCTTTGTACTGGCAAAGTGATTGCAGAAGCTATATGGTTGGAAAGGTCACAGAACTGCTCCATCTAAAAAGTAATAGAATGGGAAGGAAGGTGAAATTTTCCCCCAAACTGAACTAGTTCCCTCTTCCAAGTCTCTACAAATCATCCTGCTAGCACATGACAGGACTACAAAAGGAAAAGAGATAAACTCAGCACCACAGTGGTGGAAATACCCTTGGAATTACAGCCCAGAAATCAATTCTTTCTGGATGATTTTCAGTATGGAAAGCAAATTTTTTTTGTCTATTCCATTTCTAGAATTCTGTCAGCACAAAGCAGCAAGTAAAAATAAAAGCAAATAAACTCCCCACCTCTTTTGTGGTCTCACAGTTTTACACAATCATGTAAGTCAGGTTTCTTTAGCTATATTAAAATGTTAATGGTTAGATTAGATCGAACTGCAAAGCACGCACAAAATCTGCAGGCAATTGATCCAGCTGGGCTCTGTGCATGTATGCAAACAAACTTTAAATAAAACTAATCCTATGTTATAATGCAACTACTGTATTTTTAAAAGAAGAAAAATTTGGGTATTTGGTGTCTCAACTTGTTTTTCCCTAATTATATCAACTCCCTGCCTAAAAGAAGTTTTCTCTAAGAAGTCTTAATGCATTACTGAAATATAAGCACATTTATGTCTATTTAAGATGCACAGGAAAGGAAAAATGGGAGGGAAGGACTTTCTAACTACTTACCGAAATATAGGAGTATGACCAGGCTTTGGTTTGTTCCAAGTAAAGTGCGAAGGAACAGAAAGAAATTGGTCTCCAGGCAAATCTTTTTTCAAGGTATGCTGAGATCCAGAGCAGTCATCCACTGCAGTTTCAAGGGATGATGATAAGTTACCCTGTTCTTCAGGACAGAGATCTATTTTTCCTGATAAAGTGGCAGTCTGATCCTCTGAGGTCTTTCTTGTTTTTAGAGGAATATCAGTCTCTGTACAACACTGAAATGGTGAAAGGCCAGAATTAAGGCCTTGTACGTTATGGATGGAAGTGTTTAGCCACGTGTCTTCTGTTACGCTTCCTCTGGGAGAATGGCCAGGTGATGGAGTTGGAGAATGGTGAGGAGACAGAGAACCAGCATAGCAAATCTCAGCACTGGAGTGTCGTCGTTTCCCACAGGGGGATGTAGGTCTTGATGAGGGCCTTGATGTCGGTCTAGGGCTTAGCCAATTTTCATCTGTAATACTAGTTCTAGGAGAATGACACGGGGACTGTCTAGGTGACAAGGCATGCCCAAATCCATAAGGCTGCTGCCAAGATTCATCACTGGGCCCTCTTGGAGAACCACCAGGAGATGCCAAAGGAGAGCCAAGGGTAAATCGAGCAGCTGCTTCATTTAGCTCTGAGTCTACATCATCATAAACATGGGAAATGGATTCACAAGAGGAAGCATCTGAAAACCAACTTCTGGATGAAATGCTGCTGGCAGGACTTGGACTAAGGGATGATTCCCTATATGATGGCTCAAGAGGAAGATAGAGATGGTCCCGTGATGGTCTTTCCATATACTCATTTTCTGTGCCATTTGTGTGCAATTCATCTTCATTGGTTTCAATCCCTTGATGACAGTTAGGTGAAATAGATGTAATTTGAATACTAGGGCACTCAAAGGGCTTGGGTCCACCTAGGGGACTGTATTTGGATTCTGGTACCTCACAGGTTCCTTCATAGTTCTTATGACTCTGAAGTCTTGTAGGTGGTGAGAGAGGAGAGGAGTGAGACTGCAATCCATGGCGAGGAATACAAATTGGCTGATTTACAGAGGATGATGGTTGGTCTACATTGAAGATGTATATGGATGCACAGTCATCTGACTCAAGATCTGAAAACAAAATTAAAAAAAAAAAAAAAAAGAGGAAACGAGTCAGAATGCAATAGTTGGAAAAATGCCACAAACAAAATTTTTTCCCAGGTATGGCCTGTTTTCAACATCTTAGACATTTCCCATTATGCTAGCCACACAAAATAAAGCTAGTTCTGCATTTTAAGTTTTCCCCAGCCATATTTACAGCTACATACGACTACAGCATAGTTTTCTGTCATAAATCTTGTTTTCAACCAGACTCCACAGTTTAATCACATCTTCAGTGGTTGAAAACACAATACACACAGAAAATGGGTTTAAAAACTTGAAAGGATCTAAGCTGGAACACTCAGTTCAAACTTTATCTTTCGTAACTACATTCCATTCATAATTAAAGTTTTTTTCATCTTAATCTGTTCAAAAACATTGACATGAATAGGACTATGATACTTTCTGCAAGCCCACTAGTCAATACTTAGAAGCACTGGAATATCGCATACATAATATTTATCTCCTCTAACACTAGAAAGCATCTTACAGTGACTCAAACCTCAATAAAGATTATAAGCAACTAAAAATATTCTATCAAAAGAGGTCTAACAAAGAATATTATTAAAGACACTACGAATAATCTTATTCCAAAGATCTTTTTTGGTTGCTTAGAAAACTCTCAAGTGCCCATCCCACAGAACACCATTTTTCAAGTGCAGTTTCATGAAATTTGAGCACAAGTTGTTCAGGGGGGAAGGCAAAACAAAATATTCTCAGATCTCACTAACTTATCCAAAACACAGGAAATATTCCAAAGAAAAACAAGCAACTGAGAGACAGTGCAAGTTCAGTTAACAAAATCAGCAGCTTTGTCTGAACTGAAGCAGATTTTCTTGCCTCACTTCTCAATACTGAATTAACTGCCAGTACGAGACATTTGTCTGAAACAACAGTAGAAAACACAGCTTTTTTTCTTATTTTGTAACCACTACGCTTCCACTCTTGTTTCTTTCCCCTTGTAAAACAGAGCCTTCCCTCCATAATTATAGAAAGTAAGTATGCAGGAGACCTCAGGTGTTCACTAGTCTATCATCTCCTAGCAGATGAAATTAAATGTACTTGGACCATCCCCACTAGACACTGAAACTAGTCTCAAAATCTGTTAACAATACGGTCTCTGCAGCCTCAGTAATTTGTTTTAATGCTGAATCGCTTTCAGAGCTTTTGACTCATCACTAACATTCAGTATCATCATTAAAATTATACAATTTCTAGTGCTTTGCGTGTGGGTTTTTATTAAGTATTTTTTTCAGTAGTAGGGGAATATTATGCAGAAGCATAAATGTTTCTGCAAACTAAAATGCTCCTGTGTCAAATGTGACAATGAGACATCATGTTCATACAATTATTTTCCACAAATCCAGACTGGATGACATGAACTGCATCTATGGGTATTAGCACTTTTTTAAAAAATGATTTTTATCCTGAGTATCAGTAGAATATTACTACTTGTTTTAAAATAAATCTAGTCTCACTCACAATCAGATAAAATATCCAGACAGGAAGCCATGTATTTTAGGCCTTTCCATTATGAAAAAAATTAGTATGTTAATGAAGTAATTTTATTATCAGTTTCACTAATAGCAATCAGCTTAAAATTAACTAAAACAGAAACAGAACAAAACAGCATCTCCTCAGAGACAACAAGGAAGCATTTTCAAATGGAGAGAAAGCACACTGTTACCAAAGAACAGACTATGTTCCTCAGACTTTATGAAAAAAAAAATAAATTAAAAAATGGCTGAAGGTTCACGGGCAAGGAGCAGCTCGATTAGTAATCTAACTATTAAAGGAGGAACAAAATTGCATTTAAGACTAGTACTAAGTAGTTTTATAACCATTGTGTGATTTTATATATATTACATATAGTCATATATAACAATTATCCCTATTACATAATTATATCATTATAACATGATATGTTATATGCATATATAGTGTTATATGCATAACACTAAAAGGATCAGGATAGTCAAGAAGTGGAAGTACTATTTTGTATATTGTACAAATAATTAACACAAGCTCACTACGTTGAACACTATCAAAACTGCATTTCCCTGTCCTTTCACTAGGATAACAAACATTTTTTATAACTTTAATTGGGGATCTTTCTTTTTGCTGCTTCCCATAACAAAACATGAAATGCAGACAATAGTTACAGGTTTTCCACATCTATCGGTATATTCTTGTGCAAGATCACAGATGTCCTTGTTTCCTAACTCAGTATTAGAAGTGTAGGTCAAGGGAGGAAAAAGACAATCCCAATAAAAGCAATTATCCAGCTAGGCAAGACTTAGAAATAAAACAGTTACAGGTATAGAAATTTTGAAATAATAATAAAAACATTATAGGAAAACAGCAGCTGGAAGTCTTCAAGTTCTGTGCATAACCATTTACTGTCATTAATGGCTTTAGGAACAGTAGCAGCACATTGTGCTAAAACTCTCACCATTGCACAGAGCCTTATTTCTCTTGCAGCGACGATCAGGAAATCTTAAAATATTTAAGGCAATTTGTCCACTTCCAGTATCACTGGGATTTACAATAAGCAGATGTACATTCAAAATTTAAGTTTCACAGAGCTGAGGTGGAGAGATCAGGCTAGCACAGAATTACCAACATCAGCTGGGAAGAACTGGGGAAGAGATGGAGAAGGCAGGAGAGCATTCTTCTGACTCAGGCTTCTGTGGTCCCTCTCCACCACAAACAACTTCTATTGAGTTTGGCATCGTGCTCTCCCATTCCCCCTCCCCAGCAGCATACAAGCACACACTCAAAGAACAGGAAGCCAGAAACCTAGAGTAAGAACTACGCATCTAACAAACACCAAATCCCCAAAGCATGCTCAAGACTGTGGAAACAATATATTTTGAAGTCTAAACCATCCAAACCATTTTCAGACACAATCAGTAAACCAGCAGATTTATTTTAGTTTGCACACACAAACCCTCCCCCTTGTAGTCATGTGTTGAAATAACCTGTTAGTTGTTCATACAAAGGACAACACTAACTACTAAGACCTTTACAAATCATGTCATTAATTCTACTAGACTCTTTACTGATAATTATTTTTGTCCTATTAAAGACTGTAGAGAACAAACAATCTGGAAGAGCCCTCTAACCAATTTGAAGAAACTAGTAAACAAATAAAGATGGATATAACTTGGGTGAAATAAATGGGGGAAAAAAGAAAGAAAAACCTAAACCATCTGATAACCCTTAAGATGGAATGGAGTGAGAATAGCTTAAAAAAAAAAATAATCCAACAAGGGCCTTCAAGAAAGCAGAGGGCAAACAAACTCAGGGAAGTCTCACAATAGGCAAGTGCAAGGCAAAAAAGAGTTATGGAGAAGCCCAAGGGAAAAAAATTGAGTTATGGAAATCTGGTTACTTAATAGGAGAGCTATTACATCCAAACCACCCTATTGGGGAGGAAAGACAGTAAAGAAGTGAAGTTGGCCAAGTCATGAGGCCTTCACTGACCATAAAATATAAGAAAGAAGCATTTAAGAAACAGAAACTAGGTCAGATTACTAAGGCAGAGCATAAAAACTACCACAAGCATATGGGGGTAAGATGCTAGATACGATAGACACAGCAAAATACAAAGACCAAGAGAAGCAGTGCCATTCATGTCAAAAGCCTGCCATGGCCCTGAAATGCAGGTGTGTTAAATGCTTTTTCTTTGGTAAAGTCAACTGAGTAAATTGCTAACAAAGTTAATAGCAATGCAGAGTAAGGAAAACTGGACTAAACAAAAGGTTAAAAAGTACTGACGAATTATGGGCCAATAAGTTTAACTTCAGTTTTAGAAGTAGTATTAATAGTCTACTTGTTCCCGTAAGTATTTAAAAGGAGACAGGGAAATAAACCAAGAATTCAATGTTTGCTAAGAACAAAACCACGTAAAACAAATTTTGTTTTACTATCAAAGGAGGTCTTCTGGATAGCTAGCATAAAAAGAAAATCACCTTTGTTTTAACTTACTAAGATGTTTAACACTACCATGCATGGAGAAGCCAATGAGTCTTTAGAAATTTACTGAAGCCTTCTTCCCCACCCTGCTGAGATCAAGTTTACTACCAAGGGTCACAAAAGTTAGCAGATGCTCTATATTCACATAGCGCGTATAAGCTATATAAAGCTGCAGGCTTCCATTGCAACCTTACATCAGGCACCTGTGTCACCCCGTATCGACGAGAACCAGAAGGTCTGTCCTTTCGAATTCACATTTCCTACTGTCTGGAAACAGACTAGTTTACAGAAGCTCCTGTTCAGTACTAAAACAACGCTGGCTCATCCCTTACTAAGCTGCTAACTACACTTCAATATAATTACATTCTCCAGTTAGATCATTTAAGTAATATCCAGAACAACTGCTCCTAAAAGTGCATTTTGCTTGCTGTTTGCTCTATCAGACTGCACATTCAGGACCAGTAATGCTTGCCCACCAGTTGTTCACTCCAACGATGTACTGGCAAACGCATATGTGCAGCTGTGCAGTGAGCCCGATTTCTCCACAGAAGGAAGATCAATTACTATCAAATGTCTGAACACAAGCCCTGTGCCAAAATTATCCAAACCACTTTATTATTCTAGGTTTGTAAGCCCATAAACAAAATAGGTTCAGACAACAGGAGTTGTTATAAGGTACTAAGAAAGTGCAACATGACCTAGGTCTTACAAAAATACTACTGTGAAAACAGGATCAGTAATCAAGTCCTTTAAATAGCATGAGGAAAAACTTGAGCATTGCCACAGACAACATGTGTGTTCTCAGGCAAGTCATATAATCTGTCTCCACTCCCAAACTTTAAAAAGAACGACAACCTCTTCTGCTTTTCAATTCTGTCATGACAGTTACCATTATCTCTTTCTGAACACGATGGTATTATAAAGAATGCCACAGAAATATCTGTAAATGAGAACAAAAAGCATACACAGCTCCGTTTTTTTTAAAAAAATTT